TTAAGGGTCAAGTGGTCCACAAGGTTAGACAGGCATCAACCTCCGAAGAGGAACCAAGCTTGTGTTCGGAATGATCCAGGTCAGTAGAGGCCCTCCCGTGGTGCTTGCGCGATTTAGCTATGAGCTCCGTTCTCTGCGCGGCGGACAGAAGTCTCGAGATCAACGGCAGCCGGTGAGTCGTGATCTGCTCGCTGACATGCCTGACAACCGCATGTTGCAAATGAGGGTATGCAGTCTCGTTGATGCTCTGCAGGCGTCTTGCAGCAGGCTGTCTTGCGGCAAAAGACCCCATTGACCGTCCTGATAGTAGTCGTTGTGCAGAAAAAGCTGAGACATTAACTTTGAGTATGCATCCCCAAGAGATTTGAGGGTGGCGTGATATCTCTGGCGGAGCGCTACTGCGGGGCCCAAGTCTGGACCGAGATCACGTCAAGGTGCTGGGGTCCTCGTTGCACTCTAAATTGTCATGGTCGGAGCCGGTACCTGGTCGTGTCTTGCATGTGTTGGTCAACTCCAAGCAGCTAAGTCTCCGTGTCATTGGCCTGTACCAGCAGGTGTTGCATCGAGGCGGGGCCGCCGAAAGCACCAATACCAACACATTCAGGGACGCAATTTGGAAGGCAGTAGATGATTCCCTCAGTCGAGTGCCACAGCGGGCACATTTGGTCCTGGCAGGTGACTTCAATCAGAGTGTGGATCCTCTTCGCTTCGGAGGTTGATTGGGCCCGCTGCTAGCCTATCCAGCATTCAGGCTCGAAGGGAAAGACCCAGCAAGGGGAGGCGAACGAGGATAGTGCTCCCAGGGTTTTCTCCACCAAATCCCGTAACAGGCTTGAGGCCAGAAGGCTTGCTGAAATGGTTGAACGCCATGACATTGTGGCGTTAAACACTTGGCGCAGGGTCAACATGCCTACCTACAGGCATCCAAACTCAAAGCCGAGCCTCATAGATTATGTCTTTGTACGCAGAGAGCACGCGTCGTACAGGGCCAGGTGTGCCGCTCCCTTGGCTTGGCGCCCGATGTGCGAGAACATTTCTTGGGGTCACTCCCCGATCTCTGCATCCGTACTAATAAAGCCACACTGGACCGAGGCTAAAAGACAAGTTGTCGCCAAGGCAAGCTGTGTCCGACTGAGCATGGTGTTCAGCAAGCAACGGTTCGGATTTCGAAGCAGCTCAGCGAGAGGCCGCCAGGTCGAATTGAGGAAGTTTCAGCAGTTGTTGATGAGGCTGCCCGGACATTCCTCGAGGTTGCGAGCAAGAAGGCAAAAAGTCTCAATGCGCAGCCGGTATTAGGTGGCAGATGGGAAGCTAGGATGCGGAGTAGACGTCCCGGTGAAGTCCAGTTAGTCCCTCCTTCAGACATGAGTGCGCTGTGGAGGCATGTTCACTACTAGGGACAAAAGTTTCGGACTTCACTCATGTTTCTTTCCTTCGGTGCGCTTGTACCCTATTCGAAAGATGGAAACTGCTGGCTGAATGCAGGAGGATTAGCAAGGAGGTCTGCCGTCAAAATCGAGCCAGGAGCCGAGCGGCAAAGGCAGCATGACACCAAGACGATCTATCGTATTGTTCGTATTGTGCAACAGCTCGCCCCAAAGAAGCGCACACCTGGCGTTCGACTTCAGAGCCCGAGCTGTCCGATGTCTAAATCAGATCAGGTCGATGCGTTGGCCCAGTACTTCAGGAACCTGATGAGTGGCAACCCCTTGGACCCAAATGAGGTTACTGCCCAAGTGCCTTTCAGATCCGGAGAATTGGTCATTGGCTCTGACTCACCTCTCCAAAGGCAAATCTGTGCCAGCCGGCCGGGCCCGTCTCGCCTCGGAGGTGCTGTCGAAATGGTTTGCGAGGCTTTGCAGGAAGCAGGCTACGATTCCCAGGGCATGGCGTGAAATGCAGGCGGCATGGCTACCGAAGCCGCCCAAGGCGCCGATAAATCCCTCCGCTCTTCGTTGCATCGGCCTTATGCCCTGTGATGCAAAGTGCATGTTGATGATATTAAAAAAGCAACTGCGCTCTGTGTACATGCAAGCAACAACGCAGGTACTGCAATTTGCTTACCGTGCAGGAATGTCAGCCGCTGAGGCCATTCTGCTGGCTGGCGAGCCAACATTGTTCGGAGGTCAAAGGACTCCTCGGCGAGGGCTGTGTCTGTCTTATATCTGGGAATGAGCAAAGCTCAGCTACTATGCCGGATATTCGTATCTGTTCCCCAATGCAGCGCTAAGTGTCACTCGTTGATGCTGCGACTTAAAGTGAAAAGTGTGTTTCTGTCTGTGAGCTTTTCACCAAAACTGCCTTTATTGTTTTGGTGTTTTCTACCCTTCGCCTTGGCAACTTTTATCATTGGTACAATTCCGATTTCACGTCCCACAGATTTCATGCTTTGATTGGTGTTCCCATTTTACTCCTCCCAAAATGGGGTTGCGTGATTGTGTAAGGACATGATTTTCTGAAATGAGATTGTGCTCTGTTTCCTTGCGTGTTTCATGAACGGATCGATTTTCAACCGGGATTGGCAATGACTGCTTAAGGCTAGCGGCTAACCTTGGATTTCGAAAGTCCCACCTACCCAAAACCCTTTCGGAATATTTCCTTGTCCATGGGCGAGTTTGTCTCGGTGCGGTTGGCATCGGCGCAGTTGATATTGGGCTAATGCCCGGTCTGCCCATGGACCTTCACACACCTACTGCCTCGTGATGAGGTTTGAAAAAAATGAAGGGACCGCTTTGTGGCTTTGCGTTATGTGCTTGTCAGTTCTGATGTGCAACATGTCATTTGCAAGTGTCCGGTTCCCTGCAATTTGAATTTTGGAAGATATTTCACTTGGTTGAATGATTGTATATATTGGATGAAATGAGAATTTTCCGTAGGAATATTTTTAATTTATTATCCCATAAATGGGTGGGTGATTTGCGGGAGGGGCTCACTGGTGAAACACGGGGTCTATCTTGACCCGTTGGGCAATTCTCGTAAAAACACCGGTTATCGTATTTCGCAAGCTGTTCACTCCCCAAGTTTCTCAAGCCCCTTGTCTCTCATTCTTCCAAAACCTGATGGACACTGATTGTTGATCGATCCATTGTCCTTTCCATCCTTATGTACGCGATGGACACTGTTCTTCTGACGCTTTCTCAAATGAACAGGCTAAACGCGGTACATGTTCGTAGCGTTCGTAGGATCTTCAAGGTCACGTCTTCCTACTATCACCGTCTCCTCAATCCAACCGATGCTGAATACTCTAATGAGTACCTCGCCTCGCAGGTCTTGCCTTTTCTTCTAGCCGAGTTGTTTCTCCCTCCCAATGTCACTCCCATAACAGCTTATTTGGACACATTCTTCGACACCGCGATTCTCTCGAGTTTCAAGCTTCTTTTATGCCCTCGGGCGCCTACAGTTTTATAGCAGGTCCCAACAGAGTTGGCCGGGCGGAATCCTGCGTGGCAGAAGCTGCCAACAGGATCGACTTTCTCCTTGCGGACTCGGCGCCCATTCACACGGATATTCACAATGCATATTTTGCTATCCACCCAGGAAGTTCTAAGCCAGCACTCCTCTCAACGTGTAGTCTGGATGGAAAATACTCTCCTGTATCGTAAAATTAGGACTTTCGCATTCTCTGGAAGTAATTGGGTTAAACTTCTGCATAAGCCTCAGCGTGCCAATTTCTCATAACCCTAATTAACCTGATTTGCTAGTCGGTGCCGATGGGCTCCGAGACCGAGCCTTGCGCAGAGCGAAAAAAAGCTTGCAAAATCACATCCATTTCAGGGTTCTGTGATCTGATTCTAAAGTATTTTCACTTTATTCC